GTAGTCCATTTCCATTGGATATTGGTTTAAAGGTTTATGTAACGGGCTAATTTGGTTGCTAAACCTGGTAGAAATGTGATAATATTGGATCATCCCAAAAATGATCTCAACTGACTAACATTGGTGGAACAGGTGCTTGTTTTATAGCATAAATTTTCTACTCACAGGATGCAAACCATCAGCATTTACTTTCAGTCCTTAAGTAGGTCACTTCAGGTTTAAGAAATTCACACCTTTGTAGTTTCAAGTGAACATTATGTTTGCGAAATCCTCTCTGAAAACATCAACTAGAATTCTGAGATTCTCCTGCCAGTTATCACCACCAATACGAACGTTGCTTGTTTACACACACATTTCTCTACCCCTTGTAGCATCTGATCCATTTTAGCTTGGAATATTTTAGGAGCAGATTTGACCCCATAAGGCAACTTGGTATAAGAATACAGTCCTTTATGTGTGTTAATTGTCAAATACTCTTGACTCTCTTTATCAACACTGAGTTGTGCATATGCATATGCATGTGACAAGTCACGTTTAGTGAAAACTTTAGATCCTGCTAGCACTGCATAAAAGTCCTGAGTAGTAGGAAGTGGATACTATTCATCATCTACAGCTTGGTTGATGGTCACCTTATAGTCACCACAAATTCTCACAGACTTATCAGCTTTTGGTACAACCACCATTGGACTTGCCCAATTTGATCTCTCAGTTTGCACAATCGCACCGTATCGCTCAAGTTTGTCCAACTCTTTTTCAACTTCATCTTTCAAAGTATACAGGACTCTACGTGGTTTAATGTATACAGGTTGCACACCATCTTGCATAGTTATGTGTGCTTCAAACCCTTTCGTACCCTTATAGCCCTCTTTAAATTGCTCGCTATGTTTTGATAACAGCTCATAAAGTTGAATTTTGACACTAAATATCTCACCCCACTGAAGCTTTATATGGTTCAACCAGTTTTTGCCTAACAAAGTAGGTTTACCTTCATAATTTGCTACAATTATTGGCAATATATACTTATGACCTTTGTACAGAACATTACATCTCATCTCTCCACACACCTTAAACATTTCACCAGTATATGTTTTCAACTTAACATCTGATGAAATAAGTGGAATATTACTAAATTTCTCTTTGTACTCTTACTCATAATTGAGTAGTCAGCTGCGGTATCTATCTCCATTTTACACAATGACCCATTAGTGGACATATCTACAGTATAGCCTATCTTGGTTGGACTACCTACATGTATAACTGTAAACAAGGAATAAGTACCTAAATCATCATTGCTATACTCGCTGTGTGACTCCGATACATTATGTACACTACCTTTAGCCTTAAAATACTTCTTGGGCTTCACACTAGCTTTGTCATATTTACTTTGAGAAACAGATGCAATATGACCTATTTTGGCACACTTATAGCATTTAGCTGACTTAAATTCACACTTCTGTGCATTATGATTACCCCCAAACCTATAACATGATTGTTTATCATTGTCCATACTAGTGTGATCAGTTCTGTCCCTCTTAAAAGTTTTCAATTTGTTCACAACACCTGCATTACTACGAAATTCTTGTGCATTCTTCTCCGCCATCTCCATGGACTGGGCAATCTGACAAGCTCTGTCAAATGTAAGGTCAACAGTGTTCAACAGCTTATTCTGGATTTTGGAATTATTCAATCCTCACACAAACCGGTCTCTCAATGCTCGATTCAGAAATTGTCCATAATTGCAGTGAATGGATAGTTTCTTTAATGACACAATATAGTCACTGATCGATTCGCCTGGTTTCTTATTTCGAGTTCCAAAATGAAAACTCTCAGCAATTTCTAATGGTGCTGGATTATAATGTCGCTCTAGTGTTTGTACGATGACTTGTAATTGAATGTCTTTTGGCTTTGCTGGCACTAACAAATTACTCAGTGTGGAATATACTTGAGGTCCGATCTCCGATAGAAAAATTGCGCGTTTTCTTTCTCTAACAACAAGATTCATTATTCTCACCTGGTATTTCTACAATGTTATTTGCCGTGAAGAACATCTCCATTCGTTCCACATGAGAATTGAATGTTTCTCGTTCGGCATTAAACTCTCCCCCTCGACCCACAGGGAGCCCAGGAACTATAATCAACTGTAATACGCAGTCTCTATGAGCGGGGGGGGGGGGGTATCGGCTGGTATCTAGTGTAAAGAAATAGACAAGGGATGAAGGCTCCAGCCAGCTCAAATTTTTTAAACTCGAAAAAACGGACGAAAAGAATGAAAAATAAAAGCTAAAAAAAAATACCAGGTTGAAGAATATTAGTTGCTCCTTCAAATTTCGCCAAAGCATTACCTACATTTTACCGATATCTGCAGAATAAATCAAGAAAACTACACAAATTGACTCCATTTAGGAATTCCTAACGGTTTGCCCCACAGTCAGCTGGCGCACACGTGATAATAAAATAAATACGATATTTACTAAATGGGGGCCGCCATCTTGAACGACGCATAAAAATACAAATCAAGACAAAAATACTCATAGCGACGTATCAACGCGTGTAAAATACATTGTTTATTTACATGAAATTCGAACACGCGCTGCGCGACGACCACCACTAGGACTTCCACTAAGACCACTAGGACTAGGACCACCACTAAGCCAAACTAGGACTTCCATTTTGAAATTAGGTTCGTAAAACAGAACTTGCATTTTGAAGTTTGGGACATAGACATAGGTCATTAGTGCGCCCTCATATGACCTTTATGCAAAAGCATAAAAAGAAAAAAGAAAAGTTTACCCGTATACTTGGCTGGGGCCCACCTCAGTGTCATGACACATCAAGCCACAAGAGGCCAGTAACTGGTAATGGTTCCTACTTGTCATTCGCAAAGGACGCCGGGAGCCAGCGAATAGGCGAACGTTCACTACGATCTCCCACGATGAGTTCTATACTTAGAAGTTTCGCTTCTCCTTCCCAGAGCTCACTGCGGCTAGAACACAGAGTATAATCTTCACAGTTTTATCACGGACTCTTAGTAGACGTGGGAACGATTTCGCGTGGAAGAACGTCATTTCGCACATGTATTCCTTGAATTTTCATCTCACAGCAAAGTGTGCCTGGTTCAGCAGATATGCATTTGGCGGCTGATTTGGCCAATATGGGTATCCCATCTATGGTACATGCATTTGCGTATATGTGGACTCAACTGCTGAATTTTTGTACAACCTAACATTTGTTCAAGTTCGATAAATCGTTGATGATACTTTGTGAACAGATTGACCATTGTTATAGAAGGTAATATTGCAAATACTAGTAGTTGGGATAACGAACCGAGAGATTTTAAGAAAAAAAGTTTATCTTGTTCTGATTACGAAATTCCGGTCATCCAACTGCATTTGATCTAATGTAATAGAGGTTGCAAATGTACGCTAAATTTATTGTTATTGAAAAGGTTTTTGATTTGTACACATTACCCATTACGGAATATCTTTAGAACAAATGGGCATTTCTCACTGTTTGTGCGAAAAAAAAAATCAGTTGTGTATATACTTTGACTCATCTGCCATATTGAGGTGTCACAAAGTTGTAAGTTTCTTTTTTTTGCGCTCTCGTTGTTGAGGGAAGTATTTGGGACACACGGTATATTTGTAGTTATAACATACATATAGTAGTTGTATTGAGCGTCCATTAATGAAGAGCTCACAGTCAATACCAAAGTAATAAAACATCAAGACAATTGAATGTTAGGTAACGCTTGGTAACCTTTTCAAAATAAACAAGAATGACTGGGACTTTGACGGTGGCCTGATGTATGCTTTGCTATTTGAGGGTACCCAAGGATGGTAACGTGCTAATTTTCCCAACATGGACCTCACTCCATAAAAAGTGCCCTAGCTCGAGAATACCCAAGGCTAACAAAAGCATGAATTAACATACATTTAAATGAAAGACAGTGTTGGGGCTGCCTTGGGAGTTTTAATATTTAATTTTGAAATTGAAATGTTTTGGTTCACATTGTTCAACCACAAACGTGTGCCAACATACTAGCGCTGGCCTGGGGCGATTATTATATTTTATATAAACTCATTTTGTTATTAAACGAATCGTGGTAGTTTCGCACGTGCATAATACAGTCATGTAATAGTTGGCAAGACTATGAGCCTTGCTAAATAAACCGATAAGTGTAGTCGCTTAGTGTGGAATAAGCACTTGTCGAATGATCTCTCTCGCTGCCTATGGACGCCGCCATAAACTGTGTCTGACCATGGAAGTATAAACAGTTTAAACCTCCATGGTCTGACCAAGTTTTTGCCAGAAAAAAGCTTTTGCATCAAATAATATAATTTGATGTATTGCTAACTATTAATTAATTACGCAAATGTATATTCTCTAATATTTGTTGTATAAATAATACGTAATCGTAATTCAAGTGCAGTGTACAAATAACGACAAGTCACGTAATGTATTGAGATATTCAAAACAACATGGAGGGGTTCGTCATTGTCATGAACATCACATCAAAAAGTTTGGAATTATTAGGTGTATTTCGGCCCGGTATAACCAGTGATTCACTATACAGAACAATATGGCGCTATCCACATACACGAGTTTATTCTGATTTTTTATAAATTGTACAATTATTGTTGCAGGTTAAATACATATCACAACATTCGCTTAAATGTTAAAGAAAAGTTTGAGCATGATAGACACATTCAGATTATTTGTTTATCCAAAGACTAATTGCTGATTTCTGGTGCGCACTACCTTCTGTTATTACGTCACAGAATTTAGCCCATGACACACGGTCGCGAGCTCATGCATACTGTAATCAAATTCGTTACAACATTGTTTTTCGAATTTTGTGATATTTCAGATCTGTCAATTCCGAAAGTCACAAATATTCCATGTGACACTGAAACCCATCATAAGTGGTACATTTCATTCGAACACCCAACAGTTGCCCCTGCACTGACAAAAAGATGAAAAATAACATACACTAGTAAAAATAAATTGAGCAGTAACTCAATTAAAGTCGTTAATGTAAAGACAAATTAGCTCAATTAATAATTATTTATACCTGATTATTGTATAGTTCGGAAATATGTTCCTTAAAATGAATACCCCGAGGATCACACACAAAGTGAAACAGTAAATGACGCTCTAAAGCGGGCACTCCATCTATTTCAATTACACCAGTAATCGGAAAAAGAGTCGCCTGTTTAGTATAAATTCGAATATATTACTCGGAGAATACACAAACCCGTAAAAGTTGTGTAGTATTGTATTGCATTGCATTGTATTGTATTTCATTTGTATTTGCATTGTCTTGTGGTTAACATTATACATTAGTAATTAAGAAAACAATAGGTTATATATATATATATATATATATATATATATATATATACATTGTATATATAATGGATTTAAATGTTATCCTATGATATATACATGATTGAAAGACGGTAATTCGACATTCATACAAAAGTTCTACCAGCTAATTGCATTGTATGGTATCATGTTATTAATTTTTGCAATATTATAAAATCTGATATGGTTGTCTGCTTAAAACAAAGTTTACTAAAAAAGTATTTTGAAATAAAAATGATTGTCATTTTAAAATTACCAGCATAGCCCGTGAAAATGTATTGCGTAATATTGACAGAGACCTTTGGCGGTTATAACCCTATTTTAGTTTCAAACGATATTCTCTTTCACAAACTGAATAAATTGGCCCCCTTATTCACAAAGAAGAAATTCCGCCACCTTCTCTATTTTAATGGTAGAATGTCGATCCTTGATATTTGATCTTTGGTAGAACATAATATTTGATAAAGCTATAAACTGTAATAAATAATTGCAATGAATTAGAATGTTATTTTGCAAATATGAACAGTCTATGTACATAATTAAAAATGTTCACAGGGTCAAAGTTCAAATCAGTTAAAACTGTGTTCAACTTTCACCTAAATGTCTCTAAGGTTTCGTCGTAGTATTTTTCCACTGGCTGTTTTGGGGATTTCATTGACAAATTCTATACCACCTCGTAGTCTCTTGTGTGGTGCCACTTTGCCTGCAGGAGAAAATATGATATCAGACGTTATAATTATGTGATTTGAGTCGCGTATCTGGTTATTAGCTAATTGGCAGGTCAGATCAAACAAATAAAACAAGGCTGCAGTTTTGTTGTTTCTCGTACTGGTCGATTGGATAATGAAAAAGATTGTACAAAATGGCGAAACAGGGATTAGATGGAAGTTTACATCAACGTTGGATGATTTGTATTTTGCAGATGATTTGGCACCGATAACATTCACATAAAAACATATCAAAAATGACAAGTTATTTACACAAGTTGAACAAGTTGGCCTAAAAGTGAATTCACAGAAGACAGAAATAATGAGAATTAATGCAAGAATTGTTGACAGAATATACATCGATGGTGAAGTTGTTGAAGATGGGTGCAACCTGAACACAATTAGGAGAAGAAATGGGAGACATGGAAAACAAAATTTCAAAAGGAAAAATGTATTCATTCAGCTTCAACAGTTAACAAAATCATGAGAGCAGCTAAACTCATTGTACAAATCATTGGTGTTGTCAGTGCTGGTATATGGATCTGAAACTTGGAAGATGGCAAAAGGTGACGAAAAAAACCCTCAATACTTTTCAAAGTGTTTAAGGGATGAAGAACTATTACCGGTAACCAGGATTGGAGAAACTGAGTGCTATAGCAATGAAGAGGAGATGGACATTTATTGGCCATACATTAAGAGAGAATTCTACAAGTATATGCAACACAGCATTGACATGGGTCCCAGAAGGGGAAGGGAAAGGGAAATGGGGTAGACCCAAAACAACTTGAATTGGCGACGCATTGTTGAAAAGGAATGAAACAAGGCTGGGTGGAAGTCATGGGCAGCAGCTGATAGAACAGAATGGAAAAGTTCAGTGGAGGCCATATATGTCACTAGGCATCTGGAGGATAGATTAGATAGATCAAATCATGGACTTACTGGTAAGTTCATGCTCAGATACTTTAAGATTCGCTTCTGTGAACTGGAAGGCCATTCACAGCATCCATTTTATTTTGATCCGTAAATAAATGTTTAAATGATTAGTGCATACTTGTAAGCCATATACTTTTTCAGATACACTCTGGCATACTCTGGCAATATACATCGACAGTGCCTATATTTGGGAACTATGACTAGGATATTCATGAATAAATGTCATGAAAGCAAATAACCAATCACCGCTTGTTTGAGAACAAGAGCACGAGTTGTCTGTTTATACAAGTAGATTGATTGATTGCATGTTACGAAAGAAGGCACGCTGATTGGTGAATTTGCAAACTAAATAGCATGATGCATGTACAAGTCATTCAAGTTACGCTTTTACTGTAAATTGAACGGTGTTCAGATTTCCAGAATTAAAATATATAAACCTCAAGTAATTAAAACTGTGGGCAGAGAAAGGGAGGGAGTATGTTAGTACTCACTCTCGACAAATGAAAGTATGTCTTTAGGATTCACTGTACTCGAATTGGCAACAACAAAGGCTTTGGGGAGTTCTCCAGCTTCTTCGTCCGGGATACCAATTACACAAGCATCTTTGATGTCGGTGTGAGTTAGAAGCAATGCCTCTATTTCAGCTGGCGCCACCTGTGTGCGAAAAGACGGTAAGGTAAACGTGTTCACGTGGTATCAAACAAATTCTTGTCAAATTTAAGACACGAATCTAGGAAAACTTACTGCTAAAATTACTATAATACACTATAATCATTATTCAGACAGTGTACGATTATAATGTTTGATACACTGCCTTTACTTCTTATCATTGAACACGGGTTGCAATGTCGTGTGCCACTTTTGTCAGAGTACTAGTATATCAGCAAATCCGCCATTTTATCAGTGATCTGATTTGATTTGTACATTTGATGAATCATATGTACCAGTATTCCTCCCTGTCACATTAATCTATTTATTATTTGACGCATAGGATTCTGTTATTAATACACATGGACACAGCCTTCAGTTGTATTCGCCTACAATTTTCGTATAACAGCGTGTAAAACTAGTGACCGATTTTAAAGTCTATTCAGTCACTCGTTAGCGACAAAAATATCGACATATAAATGTGGCAAACGTAACAAAATTCAAGATATTTTAAAAATAAAAACAAAACACTATAACCCACCAGCACTGCGCGAGACATAGTAACCATATTTAAACGTATTTTGGCATCAACATCAATAAAAAAAGCCTCTATTTCAAGTAATTTATATATCAGTCATTAAACAAAGTACTGATTTGTATATCACCAGTGAAAATAACGGTCAGTATCGAAAATCTAGAGATTCACTGTTTTAAAACTAATTTGTTCCAAGGAAAATGTTCCTCCTGTACCCTTAACTCTAACCCCTACCCTTCAGCACTCTATGTTTCCAAACTATTCATTATTAAGTATTTTAAACGCATATATAAAGGTAGACTGTCGATAGTCATCAGGCCTATTTTGTTAGTATACTGCAATAAATGCGACAGACATTTCAGCGACAGCCAAAGGTATTTGTTGCAAAGGACTTTGCTGATTTACTATACTATAATTCACAAACACCAAATAAACAGAAGAGAATTATTTTTGTGTTGTTTTTGCTTTTGCTCATTTTTATATCGACAATGGAATCACAGAGTATATTTTAAAGGTGTAACAAGGCAAATAAATTGCAATATATATGTAACAACTACAATTAGTATACATATGTCACCATAAGTTATGGTGTTGCACTGGGCATTTGCATCCTACCATACTAAGAAATGCGAATTTCAAATATGGAACGATTACGCGCGTAAGCGTCCTCTAATAATAAAAACAAACATGCCACCAGGATTTGACCGGACTCCATACAAAGAAGTTCGCTGATTCTGTTCTAAACTTTTTGGATTTCGGCATTTCCATGATGTATCCTTGAAGGGAAAAGATGTATAATAATAAGGTTATTACGAAGATACCTCAAAGTATGCACTCAGACAGTACGCTGTCGCATCCGCCTCCGCTGCGCGTTGGGCGATACTGCCGCTGTACTGTCTTCGTGCATACTTTGAGGTATCCTCGTAATAACCTTATATTATTACCTGGAACCCTTTATATTTGATAAGCTCCTTGAGTCTGTCCACCACGTAGAACTGTCCATCATTATCATAAAATCCAATGTCACCTACAACAAAAGTACAAACATATTATGAACGTTGCGTAATACTTATACCAAATTGTTGTACACCATTATACAATAACTTACTAGTAACAGACTTCAACATGCCACGGTTGTCCCTCCTGACATATGTGCAAATTGCAAGTGGTACATACAAAACATTCCCACAATTTTAGGACTATCTCCTCACTATGCTATTCTTATATCGTCACGGCCTGCTCGAACACGTACGAGATGTAGAATTGTTCGACTTACGAAAACATCAAGTTACAAAAAATACCACGCCCCTATTTTAGAAACCACGCCAAAACACAGATGTTTTGTTTTGTATAACGTTTCATGTTCCCCTTAATCAAAGTTCGGTTAACTGTTAATTGATATTCGAGTTACTAAATTTGAAAGTTAAACAGAACATCAAATATATGTTGCCGGTAACTCGAAGCACTGTTACCTGTTATTTGAACATCGAATTACATGATTTCGCAAAAGTGGGCGTGGCTTCTAAAATGTAGAAGGTGTCATTTTTGTAACTCGATGTTCGTAACTCGATGTCCATAATTCGACGCTGTCCCACACTCATCCGCGTTTCCGGTGATCGAACAAGCTGAAAGAAGGTAATACTTTGTAGTTTGAAATCAAATCAAGTAGACATATCCATTATACACAGAGCCTCTGACAGTTCTGACATTCATGTAATAATGGGACCATTTCATTTTGTATTATTGACAATCAATACATTTGCAATTTCTTACTATGATCGGACCAAAATTCCAGTATTTCTCACCTGTATGCAACCATCCGTCCTTGATCGTATCTGCAGTTGCTTTCTCGTTCTTTAAGTATCCCTTCATCATCTGAGGTCCACGGTAGCACAGCTCACCGTTTTGTCTCTTCCCTAGAATCTCTCCGGTTTTTACATCTACTACCTGATTGGACAGAGAAAAAGAGAGTTCTTACTGTCCATGACACTCACTGGTACTATTACCATAACTGGTGATATCATAACGATATAAGACTAGCTAGTATTGATGGTGGGTGCGCCCTCTAATGGTAAATCAATCTAGTGACAGGAAAGCCTTTAGAAACATCGATAAAGTTCGATCTGTAGTAGTAGGACTACCGGCCCCGCTGGTGAGACAAATTAGTCCACCTTTTAAAAAATATTGACCAAACCCCCTGGCTACAGGCATGTGTATTTTTGAACCAAAAATTGACGGAATGTGACTTAATTCATGTATGAAAATGTCTCCTGAATAAGAGACCTTGAATAAGACATTACATACCTTTGCTTCTGTATTTGGTACTAATTGTCCTACTGATCCTGGGTGACAGTCTTCAAGTAAATTTCCAATATTCACCACTGGACTCAGCTCAGTAAGACCAAAACCTTGACAGAATCAATGAATAATACAGCAATATATGTTAATCATGGAACTACTAAGTACTAGTATATGCTAAACCATAGACATCTAATGTATTTGGCTAAACGTATAACATGACGAGATCTCGTTGGGAGCAAGAGATCACGAGTCTTATATTTCTGTCCCTCAAATAGTGATCCAATCTCCTCCGTCATCGAGT